GATTTTGAGTCGTTCGCATGCCTGATCGTCAAGTATGATAGTAGTTTTTGGTTGTTTTACGGATTATAGTCTTTGAACAGTCGTAGCTCGACTTTGTAGAAATTTTACAGAATTGTTTGGTGAGGGTCAAGAGAGGTCTTAGTTTTCAAAATTACGAAAACTAAGAGAGGTCTTAGTTTTCGAAATTGCAGCTACGGAAGACTAGTTTTGGGAGGTGGCGCAAGTAAGCACGGTACTAATCTCGCAAGCGGGCAGCTGGGGAACTAACAAGGAGCCAAACGCTCATACATCGGCCCTGAAAATTCTTAATATTCAAAGAATAAAAACAAAGAGGCGATTTAAGTTTGTACTTATTCGAAACCATTTTGAATATTTGGGTGAAGAATGCAATCGTTCGTTCCCATACAAATCCTCATATTTCGGCTATTGAGCTGAATAGAAGAGGCTCGTTGTACGTTCTTGGGCTACCTATAATATGGTAACCTCGTTTGTAGAGTCTTCACTTGTTTCAGTGTGTAGTTATTCAAAATAGCGCCAAAAGGTACGCTATAGTAAAAGATCACTTCGTCGCACCGGACAAGTAGGATTAGGTTGTGTTCGACTTTGTGATAACCCCCGTGATATTTCGACATATTGTGGTTAAGACAGATTGAAAGTAGCTTTCTTCAGATGTTTCTTTGGAACTTTTGTCAAAAACATCCGCTGACTCGGCTAGGTGTTTAGTTTTGTGTAGTTTGTTTTGGTAAATTTTCTTCCACAGTGAGCCAAATATCCATATGAAAACTGAACTTGTGTTGGCTTCAGCTGTCCCAAGTCTGAAGTCTGAGTTTAAATACGTTTTTTAAAAAAATAGAGAGTGCTTCTACCTTCTTTTTGTTATGAATTGTTCCTATTTATGATTTGAAACTTCCAGAACACACAAATGCCTACCCACGTTATCAAACATAACCATGAAGTGCATCAGTGATTAATGAGAAGTCTCGGGTCTGTTCGAAATCAAAACATAATATTCTAATGACTCTCAATATAGGTCTGCTGTGCGCTTAATTAGGCGCGAACAAAAGTGTTATCGCCGTCAGGAAAATAAAGAATTAAAGCCATTTCTACAGTTAGACTGTGACACCAAACAAGCGAAGAAATTTAGTAGAAACTAATATTTCATGTTGGCATTAAAATTGAAGGTTTCTTTTTCTAGAAAGCCCTATTATTTTATTTTGTCTCCTTTGGTTTCCGGTTTGCCATACCAACTGTGTAGTGACGCACAATACTTCACTAGTGCAAAATAACAAGTTTCTGTCATTGCAGGAGGAAAGAAGGACTTCAGATCCCCGTTACTGAGTATCGTTTCATATCGCCATGAATTTTTAATCAATAGTATTCGACCAATGAATGTTAGTATTTTGAAGCCACACTCTAAGGTATGCCTTCTTTATAACTTCTACCGAATGTTTGTAACGCGTATTTTATACTTACCTCGTTTTACTTTTAAGCGACATCAGCTCTGGTGTGTTACGTTTTAAAAGTAAACGGTTGAGTCTTACCAAGAAGACAAGGTTCCGTCCATTTTTTCTGTTCACTACTTAAAAGGAACTGTGAAGTCAAGAAAAAAAGTCACACTATCAAATGTCGGAGGACCTGCATTACACTCAGCGAAAGGCACCAAGATTCTCGAACTGTCTCTTTTTCTTCTTTCTTTCATTACTCGGTTCTCCCATAGTTCGTAGAGGGGACTGGTTAGGAAACGCGGCAAACTTCATAGGGCCGGCCTATTGTCTGTCCTCTGA